ACGAGTACGCGGTTCTTACAGCTGACAATGATGATGATGATGATTATGACTAGGGCTGAAAAAGCCTTCACATCAGAACATTTTTAGACTGCCATAGAGAAAGTTCAGAACTACCAAATCAGTAATCGAATTTTGTCGCGGCCCTGCGTGAAAAGGACACTGTTGACAGGTCCACAGAAGCTAGGGGACTGCATACACCCGAAGAATTACACAAAAAGGGCGAAACCAATTTTTGACTGTCGAAGAAATTTTCGGCCTGTCTGTGAGCAGAGTGTTCCGTCAGGAAAACACTGTCGACATAGCTCATTACGTTTCCTATGAGATTCATGACAACAGTGCTAGGGATTGTATTTTGACTGTCGAAGAAATTTTCAGTGGTCTTGTGAGTAGATTGTTCCGTCAGGAAAACACCGTCGACATTGGTCACTACGTTTCCTATGAGATTCATGACAACAGTGCTTTGTAGGGATTGTACACTTCAATGATCTTATTTGATTCGCAGGGGAATCTTTTGTCTAGACTATCCACACCCCTGTCATTCACGTAACCTTGCCAACCGGACAATAGTTGCCAAGCAAAGAAGAACAACAGGGTAGACCCTGTTTCAATGGATTTGTTCACATAGTCTCATGGTAACACTATAATTTGGGAATGCGGAAATTTAGCTGTTTATTGTGGATAACCGACCAGAGTCACTTGAAGAATCACTGGATTCTTAGGGTTGGTTGTAGGAGGCAGGAGTGGGGATTGTGTTGAATGCATGTCGTCTAAGGGTGCCAGACCAAAAGCATTCCAGAGTTGTCGCCAATGTGGGGGGTTAAGCAAATTCACAAAGCTATGATGGTTGCGTGAGCTATCTGGCATCAGAAGCGGTATCAGCTTATCGCCTACCGGCAAGACTGCTAGTCTGGATGACTCGTGATACTACTTTGGTGAAGAAGTCACCATGAGCCCGGGATCCATATATACGTACGTGTAATTCACGGCGAGAGGCGTTCATGCTGTCGGTTTCCGGCTACGCTAGACTGTTTCAAGGTACGAGTAACCCTGGCAGTGGGATCAACTGCTACCCCTTCCTCTGAGTTTACACGCTGCATTCAAACCACATAGGCAGAATACGATCATCGTGTGTTAGATTTTCTACGTAGCTGTTCCAATTAGAATACCTGAAGCGTCCTACCTTTGGGGACACTGACTGATAGTAAACAGGTCGCGGAGGGGGGGAGATGCGCGAACGACAGCTACGCAGTGAGTCAAACAAACTGGATGGTTCGAGTATGTACTGTAGATTCGTACTTAATACCTACCAAGGAGCTGCACACATTAGTTTGCGAGACCAAACGTGAGGAAAGCAACTAATAAATCGGTAACACTTGGGAACTCCCGCCTCCCTGGTCCAAACGAGCTTTCAGACGGTTATAAAATCCGAGCAAGAAGACACGTATGTGCCATTTTTCAGTCGAAACGCCTAGATTATGTTAGTATGCGGCCAATGTGTCGAGCTTTGTTCGAGTGGAGACAACAATTCAGACCATGAGGAGCTAAATGACAGCTGTCCCGCTAAGGATGAAGCGGTCCAACTGGTTAGAGCGCGAATTTACTGACCCGAAGGTTCGTAGTTCGAACCCGACCTCTGCCTCTCGACTTCCCCTGTCTGGGCCTGGGCGACCTGGCAGTATCCCTCGTTCCCTCGTGCTTCCTCCGGGTGGCATGGCAGCTAGGCACTGGAAGGGTGTTACAGCTGAAAGATTTAAGGATGAAGCATCTCGATTTAATCCCCGGCCTTCTAGTCACTAAGATACTCGTCTATCTGAATGTGTGTGGCAACCATTAACAACATTGATAATATTACTATACATGGTGATTATATGCTGAGAACACCCTTATGAAATCACTCTCACAGTGGTCACCTCCATTAACTGGGGAAGGTTTCAAAACGTGAAGATGATACATAAGCCAGGTGCAAAATGAAAAAAAAAAACTTACCTCGTGGGCCATTTTTGAAAGCTTCACACGGACTGATAACAACAGGTAGGCCAAGCGGGACACATCAACGGTAGATGTTCTGTCCGGTACCAGCGCTGCCAAAGGCTCCCAAGTTGCTAAACAACCGTAAAAAAGGGGAGAATGCATGGACAATTCTTGGTTATGGCAATGGAACGTGTAGACTGATAATGTGAAGCGAGTTTAGCTGAATAGTCACCTTGTTTAAAAAGGGGCAACGAGGTTATCGAAATGATGGGTGGGGTATCGATCGTGATGATTCTTCGGGACGTGTAGACTGATAATGTGAAGCGAGTTTTGCTGAATAGTCACCTTGTTTAAAAAGGTGCAACGGGGTTATCGAAATGATGGGTGAGGTAATCGATCGCGATGATTCTTCGGAGAGGAGAAACTGTTCAAACTCAGACTGAGCTGCTGTTCAGGTATCCATTCATTCTAGTCATCTTTAGCTGATTTTATGGAGGTATGGAAATATGCAAAGTCGTGAGCAAATGGCTAGCTTATCTGAACTGGTTATCAGTCTTCATGGAAGGAAAAAACTGATGGTTAGGAGCTTAAACGGTTATCCGCTTCACAGTTTAAAGTGAAGCTGAGAATAACACAAGCCCTATGGATGAGTTTGGTTCTTCAAGAGTGTGGTGTCCAATGACAGTCGTCGATATGAGATACTGTTGTAGTGAAATCAGCCTTCCAAACAAGGTTTACGTTCAAGCTTCAGAGCATGATGCCTCCCCTCACCCCGCGCCTATTGGTCGGGTTGGTGTCAGTCTAATTCATCAGTAAATAACGCAGAAAACTGCAAAAACAATGGGAGTAGTTTGTCCATCTAAGCCTTGTTTTGTTGCACTAACGCTTCCTAAGCTGCTCTACCACTTTTCAATTGTCCCCGGAGCACGATTCCTTTTAACTTGGTAAGTGGCTGGCCTTCAAAGGTTGACCAACATCCACGGCACAGTCCCGGTAGGTTACCCACCGATAAACAGCTGAAAAATTCGAAATTTAGGAAGACGGAACATTTGTGTGGAACTAATGTGCTCTCTCTCCCTAATACGGTTTCCCATAAGAAGAGATGGCATTTCAGAGAACCTATGTGTAATAAAAACAGCAGACGGCTTGTCTTCTGGAATAGAGTCAGTGAGCTGAGGGCAGTTGTAGAGCAAGTTAAACATTCTCAACTGCTTCCTATGCATTCGGCCTCAGCTAATATGTTTGCATCTCGATACATTCAACAGTACAGTCACCCAGATGCGTTCGGTGGCTGCAACCACGGCAATTGAGTGTGAGGTTTTTACCAATTGATGATTAAAGCAGCTAACTAGGTCTTCCATAAAATTGGTGTTACAATTTCTTGGCAGTGAGGGTCTTAAGATGCCAGCCAGTAAATCAATGCTGGGATTTATGATGGTGAAAGCCACCCAGGAACCAGGTGATTCTAACATATTTGGAAATTCGGGTATATTGACTTTGGCGCTTTTCAACAAATTAGACGTTTGATCCACATAAAGCTGTGGAAAGAAAAACTGAAAACAGTGCGAAAAGTATTGAAACCTGCCTAATTCATGTGATAGGTAAGAGAACTAGTGGCGATCATATGTTCTAAACAAGTCCCTGCTTCCAACATGTCCACCGTAACGGAGAAAAACAATTTTGTTCTCCAAAGAACTAACTTCACTTCAGATCCAAACATATTTCCTATTTGTACTCCTGCGTGCACCAATGGTGGTATCTGTCGCCGTATTGACAATGATTTGTCGTCCCAGTGTCTATGCCCACTGGATTATGAGGGGCAGGCCTGTGAGAAAAGTAAGTGCAGAATATCATAAACGAGAGATTCAGTTGAGTCTCTCGTGAGAACCGAATTGATTTGCAATTGAGTGTATTTCTCGAAGAACCTTGCTTCCCTATTGCGATCAACTACTATCGAAAATAAACGATATTACTCGCTTTTTGGAAGTAATAATCAGAGGACAGTGCTGTGATATTAACTCACTATCCTGTCCACTCGCATACTTAACTCAGACGTCACATGGGCTAGTTGACCCCAGTAGGTCTGTTGACCCAGTCCACGTGTCAAACACCTGGAAGAATACATGCTGAAGCAGGAGAACAGATGATGAAATCCAACTGAACAGCATCCCAGTTACAATGAAAGCCAAAACATGACCACTTTGTTAGAACCACCGGAAGAATTTCACGGTCACTAGGTGAACATGTTTGTGATTGAGCCCCAAGTGACGTAACCTCAATTTGCTGCAACAAGGTCGTCCCACACAACGGAGCGCGCAATCACCATCAGTTTAGAACAATGAGCTCTGATCAATAGAACCGGTCGGGTTCAGTCCGTGCAGTGACACGGATGTGAGCTGAGCGCCTCAGATTGCGTGTGGTTTGAAATTCTTGGCAGCAACCAAGAACCGGAAACAAATGGTTGCATATAAAACGGTGATGCTGGCACACAGTGTGCTGAGTCCAGAATATAACGAGGACTGAAAAAAAAACAGTGCAGCAGTGCGGCTTGGATGGCAGCAGAGTGAATGTACAACCAGTGACTTTGTATGCGGCAAACAATTTGACAATGAAACACTATTTAGTCTCAAGTAGGGAGTATCGACAGTGTTGTATTCCCGTTGAATAACTACAACGAGACAACTCACGCAGTGCGTATCAGGTCTCCGGCTGAAGGGTTTCTATGCTGATTATTCGAAATATAGGATTCGCGATACATTTTTACACTTGTGTAAGTCCAAGGACCTTCCGGAAGAAAAACAAACTAACCGCTGTCAAAAACCGACCACATTCGCCGTGATCTCAATGTCATCCTTAAAGCTTGAAACCCAACCCCAGGCGGGTGGAGGAGGAAAACTCGTCCGTGAATAGAATACTGGTATTGAGTATGACTCAGTATGGTTTCGGCTGCTCCGGTGGAGCAATGCGTCAGTTGTTCATCCTCACTCTTTTTGCCAAGCCTCTGTAGGAGGGCGCGTTCGTGACCATTGTTCTGAACGGCTTTGGGCACACACACACACACAAACAGGGATACGGACAAGCGAACAGCGTTTTGTCACACGTGACGTAAATAGGAGAGGGGAAATAGTTCAGGTCATTCGATTGTTAGTCATCCCACACGTGCACGACGGAACCAAGGGAGGCAGTGAATCCAGGCAAACAAAATTCATTACTGCACACACGGCCGGACATCAGAGCGACAGTCGGTGAGGAAAGCAGCGGACAAGACTGGTCTCAGTTCAAATTGACAACGAAGATGGGACAAATTGGTAACCGGAGGACCACAGCTGGCAACAACGGCTGTAAAACCGTTTCTATTAGCTCAGATCGCAAGGGGAATCGAAAAAGCAAACACAAACTCACGTAGATCTAATAAACGTCTCGGGAGTCGTCGAAGAAACTGTTTCACCAAACCGCCTATTGCATACGGTTCGCGCCAAGCGTCCAAAGTAAGGAGGAAATCAACATCATGAGGCAACTGAAGAAGGGGAAAGAAGGAAATCAATCGTCGAGCTTAAAAAACAGCAACAAGGTCCGGAATATGACAAACGGCGTGGAGAAGAAACAGGGGCTAGAACACGTCAAAAACGTATGGGCACGAGCAAATCCCGATAAGGCAATCACCAGGGATGTACGATAAGTGGACAAACACGGATACGAAGTTGAACAACCAGAGTACATTCCACTCGATCCCCATTTTCACGTAAGTTGGGGGAAATTTCAAATCCCAAATGGAATTGAGTCAGAGTTACGAGTTTTTCTTAATTTTATCCACTCGTATTAAAAGTACAGCACTGAATTTTTCACACGTGGATAACACTCGTCGGCAAGTTATGCTCATGTAATAGGAAACCCCCCGGTCGATTTGAATCAACTTTGGGACGGCACACAAATCACTGTTGTCAGAGGCGAAGAAGAGAAAACCTTCAATACACATATTGCTACCGGAATCAGAAGCACGACTGATCGCTAATCAACACCTGTAAAAGAACAAACCAGCAAATCCTCCATGAAGATGTGAACAATCTTCACGCTATTCATAGCAGGTCAGACTCATAACCAATGGGACGAACGGAGTGGGAAATGAAAGAGGCGAATGTTCCGGATCGAAAATCCTGCTGGGCCCGGTTCTCCCAAAGCGAAACATCGTTTGTGGTTTGATCTAGAAGCAGGATTTCGACCGCCAAGTAAGAGACTTAAATTAGGATTAAAAAAATAGACAATTGTTCAACTGTAACACCCTTTCGGTGGCCAGCTGCCAGGCCTCCCGAAGGAAGCACGAGGGCTAGGATACTGCCAGCTTGCCCAAGACTAGACAGGGGAAGTCCAGAGGCGGAGTTCGGGTTCGAACCACGGACTACCCGGTCAGTAAATTCGCGCTCTAACCACTTGGGCCATCTCAGAATGAGGAAAGACACTTGGTCAAACCTGACGAACACAATTCAATCACGAACAAAGTGTTACTAAATGATGATTTTGAGGACTGATACCAGTCTGCTACTACCACAGTGGTCTGTCATACGGGACGGACGTTTGTGGTATGAAATACCATTTCTGCACGATGCAACTGCTGTTTGCCTACACTGGACTAGAACATCATGGCTAATTTCTACATGGAGAAAGTGAACGATTGGTTCACTTCATTCTGGTGTGAAGGCCGAAGGCAATATTGCAACATGACAATGCCTGCTTTCGCCAAATGACGAAACCAGGATCGCCCTTCTTAAAAGTGTATGGTTGCTCCGATGGCAGTTCAGATAGAAAAAAACCTGTCGAGAAAGAAGAGGCACCCACAATTGGCGTAAGCAGATTCTTCACGGCCACGGATGAATACATGATGCGATAGAAGGCAGAAACCATGCAAAAAATGAACAAAGTTTACATGACATCTACAGGGACCAAAAATGAACGAAGTTACTGTTCTTCTTCCGCGTCATGCTTACTGCCACATCTCAGAATAGACGGAAGCATCTCAAAATGGGCGACTAAACAGAGGCATCATCGGCGTGCTCAAATGTCAATATTGAATAAAAATAGCCTGGGCTCTTTGCTGAGGGTGGGCAACCTAGCATGGAATGCTTTTTCCGATGGAAGATAAACTGTAATCCACATTTCCTCCGTACAGAGACATCAAACAGAAGAAGTTCGATGTGATCGACATCATCACAACCCATGGACTAATTTACGCTAAGTATGATTGTTTATAAACGTGAAAAGAAATATCATCCGGAAATCTTTTGGCAACCAATAAGAATATGCCCAAAAAGGCCAAACGGGCAGGCTGTAAGCGTATACCACCAGAATGAAAGAGCTACATGGAAGTTGTGATCAAATGATCGCGTGACAAATATTGGTTTATCGGTATGAAAAATACATTAATCTACTCGCCTCACAAAGCAACTAGGAGTAGATCAACACCGTGTAACCAGAGAAAGCCTCGGGAAGAGAATTCGACGAAATGAACCGCAACAAATCTGGAATAAGCATCTGGTACGTGAACATGCAAAACAAGTAATGTGGCGCCTACAACACAAAAAATGGTCTCGTCAGCATCACTTATTGTTGACAGCATGGTGTAACCCAGCATGTTCACGTGATTAGCACACAGTAGAACATGGGCGATCGATAACGGATTCTCACATGGCCCAAAGTGTAACTCATACAAGGTTAGGTGTACAGAATCGAGGTTGCATGTGAGTAGCTGTGTGGGTACATGCACATCTTGGAGTGCCAAAAAGATGATGATATTTGGAGAACTGAGTTTAACCCCTTTTTGACATAATCACTTAAATTGGGGGAAGAGTTGTTTGTGTAATATTTCTGTTTCGCCGCTGGATTACATCGAAACCCGCGTGGGCATTGTTCCCTGCGTTTTACAACTGAACGTCTTTGGTCGCACCCCAGAGGTGATGGGAACTATTCACCTCGGGTGAGTAGTGCATGCATGCGTCACTCAAATTATTTCCACGGCTAAATATCTTGCTGAGTTAGAGTCTAATCGGTGTCATGCATTTTGGTGACCATCAGTTTTTTTTTATTGACAAGAAAAATACGGCTAAATATCTTGCTGAGTTAGAGTCTAATCGGTGTCATGCATTCTGGTGACCATCAGTCTCCTTTTATTGATCAAGAAAAATGTGCGGACTGAGGGCTTGCAGTAAATCCAGCAGGGGATCAGTTAGAACATTGCAGCGTACACATCATCGTCATCAGAAACTGCAAGTTCGTGTTGATTCACTTCACTTGATTATATTTATAACGCTAAACTAACAAGGGAAAAAAATTGACGGGAAACGGATAAGATGCTAGATTTCCGCAGGTCTATACCTCCAAACGCTCATTCAGACAATCTGAAAAGTAACTGACAGCATACTCACCACTGACACCTGTTAGACACTGTCTCTTTCCAATTTAGAAGGGCGACACAGCTGAGGAACAGATGCAGAACAATTCACCCATACTCCCATCCTTGTAGCCATAGAAGAATAAGTTTGTGTGATATACATGGTTTTAGCCAGATGAAAAGCCACTCGCTCCTAATAAACTGGATGATGGAGGTTGGAGATCGCAAAAAGAGCATGCCATGCTGCATCGATATGAGTTAAGAGACACTTGGGTGCAAGTGGAATCTCTTAACCTCAGTTCTGTGTGGCTCTTATTGGCCACCGTCCAACGAGGCAACACCCTCGTCGGAGAGACCATTCGGGATCCGGTAGTTCCTGGTGAATAGGGTGTAACGTTTCTGGCTATGTAATACGTCCCCACATAAACGCCAGTCTCAAAAGAGGCAGTTATCAAAGGTTTGCTACGAAGGAGATACGTTGTACTCGGAAGGAAATTCAAGGTCAGATAGTCTACCCACAATTTCATTTCTCCAGAATGACTCCCATGTAATTACTCCAGAGCTAATACGCTCTGAAGCTTTGGTTCTCTCGACTCTCCGCCACCTCAATTGTCTGGATTGGAGTGAACAGTTCCAAGGTTGAATTTCGTACAGCGTCTTGCATCACACTGATATACGTTCAGCTGTAGCAACCTTCCATGCCACCCGAAGAAAGCACGAGGGCAGGGATACTGCCAGGTTGCCCAAACCTAGACAGGAGAAATCGACAGGCGGAGGTCGAGTTCGAACCACGGACCTTTCGGTCAGTAAATTCGCGCTCTAACCACTTGGGCCATCTCGCCCCTGATATACTGATAGACGCCAATGTTTTAACCGTTTTCTATTAAACTATCTACATGATCAGCTTTGTGTCGTGTCGAGTAACGCAGCCCAGACTGCGTTAAGGACGTCCGTCGACTTCATTACACCGAAAAAATAGTCACATGCCAGATTAGACGTGAGTTTTATATCAAAAAGAATTCACGAAGTAAAGTAAAAACACCAGTCGCATTGGGGAGATCGTTGGATAGGAGAGTACTGCAGTACAGAGAGCAGAAAAACTCCTAATTGGGAAGTAATCCAAACGGGCTGTTCTTGAAGTGAACTCGCGCCTGTGGCATGGTGTCTTCTTTCAAAGAGCTGGACTTGCGAGCGGCATGATCTGGCAGCCAGTGAAAAACCTCCAACATTGCATAGTATAAAAAAATTATTAATTAGTTCAAATTGTCCCTCAGAAGGAGCGTACCAATATCATCCTGACTAAGGAAATCATGTACGATACACATCTTCGTAACTCCAGAGATTCGAACCCGTAACAGTAGGTTGTGGGAAGGAGATGCTGATCCGAATCCACATGAAAATGCATAAAACGCCGTCATCAAAATCTAACCATAAAACTCAAAGTGTTGAGAGGCCCCGGAGTCCAATGTATCGTATCCGTCCGCTAAGGACAATTCTGCAACGACCGAAAGTGATCACGCAGAACAGCAAAAGTACATTTCGTGTAATCTACTGAGACTTTGCTTGAAGTATAAAGGTGGTTCCACGGAAATTAAGGAGTGTGCCACAAGACAATGTAGCTCGGGTGGAAACCCTTGATAATTGGTCCACGAAACCGGCGCGCTACGTCTTGGCTGTAGGTCGGATAGTGACGTAAGTGCTCACAAGCACAGAAACTGAACGAACAGCGGCCCAAATTGAAGTAAAGAGCAAACTTCGGGGTAGTGGATATCCACCTGGCTTGATTAAGCGTCAACTGCGAAGGGTGTTGGTACCGGTAGGGAAGCCCAACAGGGAATGGATCGGGACCGTGGTTATTCCATATAAACCAGGGACACCGGAGGTCATTCGAAGAATTCTAAACACGGCTAACATAAGAGTAGCTTTCCAAAGGGGGGACACTGTGCGCTCTGCACTGGTGCAGTTTAAGGATCGCCTCCCGGCAAACAGAACCACGGTCTATATAGGACAGACGGCCAGGGAACTACACACCAGAATTGGAGAGCATAGTAGAAAAATAAACAGGCCACCGAGAAACGCAGATGAATATCAAGCGTTACTGAAGGATTCGGCAATCGCGGAACACGCACTGGACACAGGACACGAAATTCACCCAGAAAATGTTGAGGTTTTGAGGCGAGGACTACGGTCCACGTCACACAGACTGATAGCCGAGGCGGTAGAAATCGCCAAGCACCAGAATGGAAGGCGTGGAACTAGCAAGCGTGTGGAGAACGGTCCTGGGTCACTCGAGCTAACACGTGTTGGTGGGTAGTCATCATCTGGATTCCACTTTACCTTACGCACCTCCCCTCCCCCCAACTAAATTTTCGTAACATCCACAACCCACGAAGATCAAGGAAAACCTACCAGTGGCACCCGAGGTGAATCACCAAGTGGAGCACCCTGAAGCGGAAGATTAAGGAACGAAAAGCGATAGGAACTAATTTGAAACTCCTCTTACCCATCAATTCAAGATTTTGTCACCCACACTAGCTGACAAGAGCCGTTAATTTACACTCAACACTGATCTAGTGTGAAGAGGACTTACTGATTGGTTGCCCGTCTGTTTTATAACCTGGCCAATTTGGTGACCTGTTCACTTGGCCTGATGAAGCTTGTGTGTCAAAAGCGAAACGTTGCCCAAATAAAAACTACAGTCCTGATGGGACAGGTTCTCGAGCGCGCGGGGGGGGGGCATGATCCAAAAACTGCAAACGGACTTACTAGATTGGCCACGCAGATAAACTGATTCATTGACCTTTGTCGTCCCGGTTTACGATACATACCAGGTAAGTGTAGTCCGTGCGCATCCAAGGAAGCCAGAAACGCATGCAGCATCGCCGGAACACACTGGAAAGATGACAAACGTGGTTATTATGGTAGTAGTGGGAGCGCAAAATGTATCGCAACAGAAAACAGTTGGCTTCAGTGTCATTGGCTCAGCATATAATAAACAGAGGTTAAAAAAACTACCATGGATATCAAGATTCCAATCGAAACACCCATGATCTGCATACGATCAGACAGATAAAGAATATTCAGTGTAAGGGCATATTACTGATCGGCGTTTTCTCTCTCTCTCTCTTGGCATGTGAATAGACTACAGACAAGGACTGTGAACAAATAAATACATTCAAGTTACGACAAGATATTTGCGTACACTTGGAAACACCTGTTTAGACAAGTGGAAAACGGTTTGGCTTAAAAAGGTGAAGATATCAACTTAGATGTCATCCAGCCTGATCAGTGCTCCGTGTGACCCGAATACCAGGGACCACTAATCAATGCGAGAGAACACTCGGTTGAGGACAGTAAGTCCCAATCTGTGAATCGAGTCCTGTCCGAAACTATACGTTGTCAGAATGGCAACCATTTAGTGAGGATAGTATCACAACCTAAAAACAACCGTCAAGTACGCTGGTGGTCTCCTGAAACGAAAGCAGATGACGGTGATATACCGGAGGCATTTTATGTCCCATTCTGGTCATTTACAACCATCAGAGTATTTAAGAAACAATCCACCCTCAGCATTGAACTTGCCAGTTAAGGAGGTCCGGACAAAGTATGCTTTAATTCATTCGGACAACGATCAGAGTCAGGACATGCCACACTGAAAGCTGTGGGGTAGCCTCCGTAAGCCAACTACCTAGCGTTGCCTCCATTGGCCAACAAAGTGGTGAAGGAAAATTGCGATGAATAAACTTAAAGTACCAAATGCATAATTAGTATCCTATATGTTAGCAACGTTGTGGAATGTAGATAACTCGGGTGCGCTGCTTGGTTGTTGGTCTGTTCGCCGAGCTTGGCAGTTGGATTTCAAACGTTTCATCACCAATCGAGGTGACATCGTCAGTGCAGGGTTGAGTGGTTACCTTATATGAGTGAGTATCTTATATGTACTTGAAAAGTCACATGTACGCCGAAAACCAGTGTATACAAGTTGGTTTCTTCGATATGATTAGTAAGCTATAAGGAGATATTCAGCCACCAAAAAATCAAACTTCCAGTCAAAAAAATGGATCATATCAGTTAAACTTGTTGAGCGAAGAGTACCAATGACTATCGGTTGAGTTATCCGTGATCAAAATCAGTCGACCACCCAGTGGTCTACAACCCTACCGCAACCAGCCATAAAACCACAAGTAGCGTTCGAACACACAAGGAGTTCACAGCCGTGTAGTTTGTACACGTCTACTTTCACCGGGGAAAAAAGTATGTCACAACTTCCACGTTCACCAGTCTTATTCTACCAGCTCCTTTGGACAAACTGTTTGGAAAAGTTAACAAATTCTCAGCAATCGCGGTGCAAAATATACACGACATGGCGATACCTCTGTGGCTGTGTGTGTGTGCATGTGCGCGCTAAGTATGTGACCTTTACCAACCTGTGTGTGTGTGTGTGCGCGCACACACACACACGATAAGCAGATAATACGCTTCTGTGCGCTCTAAATATGTGACCTTTTCCAACCTGTGTGTTTGTGCGCACACACACACACACACGATAAGCGGATAATACGCTTCTTATGCTCCATCTGGTCAGAACTAAGCACGACCGACCTCATCGCTTGGTAGAAATGCAATCAAAGGTGAGCAGCACACGGAAGCGTTACTTTTCTAGGATGGTGTGGTGCGGAACCAGCTATCATGGAATACTAATAAAGGATACGGAAATACACGCTTAGAAGTAGACGAGAGAATTGGTCGACGTAGTACATTGCATGAAGCCTTCTGACGAATGGATCCATGAGCAGAAAGAGCTCACAAGTGCATGATGTCACGCTACGCATGCACTGAGATTCGGATCGATTTCAATGAAGGTTCACAACATGTGATGCACGTGAAACGTATCAATCCGCAGATAAGTTGAATGATTCGGATCGATTTCAATGAAGGTTCACATGTGATGCACGTGAAATGTATCAATCCGCAGACCAGAAATAAATTGAAGCGGACGATAGGACTGGAAAGAACTAGTGTGATTCGAAGCCGGCACATTATTTCAACATGTTAAAGTGACCCCATGAGCCTGGATATGTCCATTTTTACAAATAGTTGAGGTTTCAAGTGGTTGCATTCTAAAAAACAAGGTATGAAAGCAAGAGTTCTTTTTGGAACGCGGATAGAGTAGAGCTTGTCGGCTGAGCCAATGAGGAAATTTAATTTAAGCGCACATCTGATCATTTTGCCAAATGTCATCTGGAACTTTATCAATGAACATAAAGCCTTCCTTGAGTTAACCGGACTGCGTAGTCCGTGAGCTTCTAATATGGCTCCATAACCACCTAACCCTGTGGAAAAAAATAGTCACAAGCGGCAACAAGTTGAACTGCAGTTGTAACGCACCTGTGTAACTAAAAGCATAGGACAACTGCAACCATTTCGCTTCGTGGCGAAACGGTTAGTCGAGGCGTAAATATCGACATTCGCCCTATATGGTGAAAGCACAGTTGCCTGACATTCGATTCCGATCTTGCCTGTCACATCGAACTGTACCGACAGATCCTGATACCACATACGGTTTGCGCTCATTCGTGCGTGAGACCATCCGATTACCTGCATGGATAAAACCAGTGAGTGGGAGAAGTTCTAAAACCACAAATGTATGTGGAAAATGACCCCCATCGTTTGTAAGACGCACACGGGATATCCTCTTCGAGCACCAGCGTGGAAGTAACACACTGAAATTTTCACTGCGCTAAGGCATGTAAGGCATCTGTAACGCCTTCTCGGTGAACAGCTGCCATGCCACCCGGAGCAAGCACGAGGGGTGAGATACAGTCAGGTTGCGCGGGCCTAAACAGGAACAGTCAAGAGGCCGGGGTCGGGTTCGAACAACGGACCTTCCGGTCAGTATGTTCATTCCTTTAACCACTGGGCCACCTCAAGCTCAACCAATTCAGAGGCTGATGAGGAGGTAATCAACTTCCTGAAAGCCATGGGGTTTACTTTGGGTACAGCGATGACCTGTACCGATGATAAATCAGACGCCAATCAAAATTATGTCTGATTTGGTCGACACGGTGGACACGAAAAGAGGCAAGTGACGAACGGTAAATGGTTAGATGCTAAGGAACCAACTTACTGGATAGTCGGGACTTTCCAGCTGCTGCTCCAACGCACAGCCAAACGTGGGTCCAGGGGTATCAACATCAGAGAAATCAGGAGGATCACCTAGACGGGGATGAATAGGGGGGTGGGAGAAGAAAGATGTGGGAGGGGGAACTTTATCAGGTGCTGTGGAACTGTGTGTGTTTGGACTTTAGAGATCAAATGCATGCTTTGAAATTAAAGCGGGAAGACTGTAGAGTGGTTGTGATTGATCACTGAGGAACACTGTGAAATGATAAGCGAGAACCGCGTACTGAAGATGGAGACCAACAGAGTTGCGCGCATGTCCTATTTTCGGATCACAGGCGGATTGGAAGAGGAGTTGCTTACCGGGGGCAACAGGTTGGTAATGAAATGCTCCTAGGTAAGCGACTGCGTCCAGATTTTATGTGACCTCGAGCAGTTTACTTCACAACAACAGCGACCGGGTTTGATCCGATGCACTCGAACTGCGAACATAGTCAAACGCGCTGAAACATTTCGCAACCGCTACTGAAGAATAATCGAATGCCTAATAACCAACGCGGTCTTCGTTTTCGTGAAGAAATACACTTTGGAAAACTTGCGGTAAGACTAAACTAAGAGAGAAAAAAACTGGAGTTCACGATGACTTAAATGACAGAGACTGATGACTCACTGAACAGGTCAGAGCTAGGTTAGTATATAGTGATAACCTGAGTAGCGATTTTTTAACCA